CTTTCTCCCCCCCTGTCCCTGTCTCCGTCTCTCCCTTCCCTCAGGCACCGTCTTCCTGCAGCTTCCTTACTCCAAGAGGAAGTACAGCAGCGGGCAGCAGCGCCGCCGCCGCAACTCCACCACGTCGGCCACACAGAGCCTCTTCGGGGTGGAGGAGCGTGTGGGCTACAACTGGGCCTACAACACCATGCTGACCAAGGCGTGGCGCACCGGCGCCCTCGGTGACGAGCGCCTTGCCGATCGCCTGCTCCGCGACTTCACTGACTTCTGCGCCAACAAGGACAACCGGCTGCTGGCCTTCTGGGAGAGCTGCGTGGAGAAGATGAACGCTAGCGCCCCCAAGGAAGGGGGCTGCATTCCAGAGACCCCTCCCTAAGGAGGTGTGGGCAGTTCCTGTGTCAGACTGAGGTGAAAGGTCACAATGCCAGGTATTTAGGGCAGTCCCGTGTTGGTTATGCTATTGAACTGTTTCTCAACATATGTAAATAAATATTTACTCACTCTTGTGTCTATTCTGTGTGTCTAGAAGAATCTATCAGCCATATTAAGCACAAAAATCATTAGCAGTTTGTAATGGATGAGAGACTTTACAGTGTTAAAGATTCAAAAAGCAGCTGCCTGTGTTAGCCCTGCCCCTGCCTTTTGCTATCAGGCCCTGGGCCTTGTGCCTTTCCTGAGATTCCATTACATCCCAGCATCCAGCATAAATCATGAGTTGCTTTTAAAGGGAGGAAATGGAACAGGGACAATGGCTTACCAGGCTGGGGACTTGCACGCCTAAGCTGCCTTAGAGGTACAGATGAAAGAAACATATTTTTGTTTTACTGAAATTGGCCAGAAATGAGCTTAAAAGTGAACAGATAACGTCCGAACTTATGTAACTCTGTCCTTGGGCTGAGTAGACATAGATCTCTTTTTGTAGGACTACAATGTTTTATTGAGATGTTGGGAAGCGAGTTTCTGTGAGGAACACTTCCTCAAATGACGCAAACATGCGACCCACTACAGAGACCGACGGACATCCGCACCCCTTCCGGCCATAGCGTCTCGCTTACAACACGATATCGGTCCAACGGCAGCACCATCGATACCCCGCGTATCGCCCCATGCTGATCTTTCGGCTGATCGATGCGCATATTGCGCCGCTGGCCTTGCAGGCACGCCCCCAGCCGCTGCGACGAAAAATGCAGCACGTCGCGCTGCGCAGGTGCGCGCCCGTCCAGCGCTGTGCTATTAATAGAAGGTGACGTCACCATAAAATATCTCGGGGCCCCTCCCCACTGCCCCACCGCCCCTCAAGCCCTGGGAGACCCACAGTGCGCCTGCGCGACTGCGGCAAAGCGTGTCAGGAAGCCGTGGGTTAGACGACATCGCTGTTGGGTAGGGAGAGGCTGAAGAGGAGTGAGGAGCGCGGAGAGAGAAGAGAAAAAAAGTCAGGGGATAGGCGAGGTTGGATGTGAGGGATAGGTAGACCAGAGAGAGTCCAAAGATCCCTGCAGCCACGGGGGGCGGTGCGAGGGCAGAGCCGGGTAGCTAGTCACAGCTGATTCCTGCGCCTATTCCCTGCTATTTGACATCCTCCCCGTTCTCTGCAGTTTGCACTCCGCTAGAGTGTGGCATTTCATTGTAGGGTGGGATCGAGTTGTGACTCCCAGAGGTTGTCAGGTGGGTGAAACAGGTCTCCATTTAGGCTTAGAAGAGCCGAGCTGCTAGAGGCACAGCGCCGTATCCCGCACGTCCAGCCGCCTGATTGCAAGGATGGTTGATAGAGAGCAGTTCGTCCAGAAAGCCCGTCTGGCGGAGCAGGCGGAGCGCTACGATGACATGGCGTCATCAATGAAACTGGTAAGTGTTCTCGGGAAATCTATTTTTTCCCATTTAAGTTAATTTCTTCATTTTCCCGAAATATTCATTTTTATAGAGAACGGACACGCTTGCCAGCGCAAACGACATTTGCGCAACCTGGAGTGCCTCCCACTTAAGGCTGAACGGGCATGTTTGATCCGTGTCTGAAATGTTTCCCTGTCCAGTGGATTTTCTTCTAGTGTCTCCAAAATAAAGGACGGTGTTGGAGTGGGGGCTCAAAATCACGTCGGTGCCATAAATCGTGACGTTTCTCCGCCGCATTATCCTGTACCGCTTCAGGACGAATTCTCCCTGTCGTAGCTGTCATATGATATTTTTTAAATACCGGACGCTCGAATTCCCTTTGCAGGCTGACAGTAACAACTCGCAGTCCATGTAAACTATTTCCGCCCTGTGTGTGAAATGGACATGGGGCGTGATGTTACTTTTGCCAGCTTGACTGAACTGCTACCAACTAGCCAATTACCGGAGATGAACCGCGTTTTAACCCAGCAGGCTGCTTTGCTGGGCTGCCCAGTAAATCGTGTTCTAATTCCGAACTCTGGATCACCATGAAGCACAAGTACATCCACCAGTCATCATCATAATATAGTTTATAGAAAACACAATGACAGCCTTTAACAGGAATCCCCACGAGTATTATTTATATGTATATATAATTTTGGCCACAAAAAAACTTCAGTATTGTTCAAGACGTAAGATTGAATAAGTTCTTATCCAAATAATATGTACATATCAGAATAGGGCAGAATTAATAAATGCATGTTTAATATTAATCTAATAATATTAAACAACGATAGCTTCACAACCATTCATTTAAACCTTTGGACAGTTTTTCTTATTGATTTCCCCTAATATTTTTATTCCCCTAAACGATTCAGCAATGAACATTTTATTATAGAACGAATCTTAAACTAAATTTTTAAATAAATATAGGTATAACTCTCAGCCCCGATCCTGATGGCTGCTGTACAGACACGTGGAACGTATGTGCAGATGCCAGACATTTGTCAGCTTATGCCCTGCATAGTCCACCAGGCTATCATATGTGACACATGCCCGAATCCTGTGGTCTTTTCCACGTTCCCTTATTCAGCATGTTTCCAGACATCTGGGTGGGCACCTGTAAAAATGGGGGTGTATTTAAACAAAACGATTCTGCTGTTTAATATGTCCCTTTCGTTGCTGATATTAATGTAATTTTGGGGAGCATTAGTTCCCGGAATATCCGACAGAGGGTGACATTGGACGTTTCTGCCGAGCAGAACTGGTCTAGGCCAATGAGATCCAAGAAACTTCCGCACTGTGAGAATAGTAAATCCTTTCAGGGATATTAAACATGCAGCGGACATGGCATTTAAGGACATAGTGTAACGATGTGAGAATCCTTCACGCGGGCCCCTGCTCTCCGCAGCTCGGTCAGGTCAAACGGGACAAAGTCGCATGATGATTGAAGACTGATGAGCAGAATTGCTGTTACAGGGTGCGGCCCTCAGTACGGATTTCCTCCAGACTATTGCTGTACGTTTGAGTGGTCACTGGCTGAAGGGATACTTCTGCCCATGGTTTAGAATGGTACAGATCACCCGGGGATAGGCCAAAGTACCTAATTGCAGAGAGGGAGCTGATTTGGCAGCATCCCAGACAATGAATGGATTGGTTGGGGACAGTAAATCAGGAGAGTGACACTTACCTGTGTCCAGTAACATGGTCATCAAGCTTTCTGGCTCCTCATGAACATGGTTGAGGAGTTGACGTTGTTGATTTGAAGTGCTTTCAGTCCATTTTGGTAAAACTTCTTGTATTATCCTTCGCTGACTTGTGACTCTCTAGTTCAATGTAATGCAGGATGTCCTGTGTCCTGAGAGATAAATGGCCTTTTTTCCTCCACTAATTTATTAATGACAGACAGATTACCGCCGCCTTGTATCCACCGTCATTACATTTGGTGCATGATTTTGGTTTAGTCACGTAGGTCTGCCAACATGAACCGGCATTTTTGGAAGGGTGGAGTCGGTGTAGGGAACAGACATGTCATGTTAAGCTGTCTGCCGATCCATGTGTGAGAGTCTTGGGGGACTCCTGCTGTTTTTTTTTAGGGGGTCCATTTGTAATGGGACACCTCGGTATAACCGGGATTCTGCTGTCTCTCTCGGAGGCCACCTCTGGACTCTCTGACCTTGCTCATAGACCGGAAAAGGAAAGAGTTGTTAATATTATTCATCTCTCCAAGGCAGAATGTTTGGCGGACCAAAGAGGCCAAGACAATCCTTTAAGGCCCTGAAGAGTGAGGTCTTCAAAAGAACTATAGTTTTTTTGTACTTGTGTATAAAACCTCTAATTTATTATTACTCTGCTTAATTTGCACTGGAGAGCTGTTTTTTAATCTGCATGTAGGACTCTTTCCTTTTGCAATCACTCTGGGGTTTAGCCAGAACCAAAATAATTTTGCCTGGTAGTTCTGGATGTTGGCATCTTCAAAGAATGCTCTCTTCCTCCAGGCTGTCTGGGTGGAATTAGGAGTCTAACCCCCATCCTGTTGTGTTGGCAGGTGACGGAGATGAACGAGCCGCTCTCAAATGAGGACCGCAACCTGCTGTCCGTGGCTTACAAGAATGTGGTCGGGGCTCGGAGGTCCTCCTGGCGAGTTATCTCCAGCATCGAGCAGAAGACTGCGGCTGATGGCAACGAGAAGAAGCTAGAGATGGTGCGGGCCTACCGGGAGAAGATCGAGAAGGAGCTGGAATCTGTGTGCCAGGATGTGCTCAACCTGCTTGACAAGTTCCTCATCAAGAACTGCACCGATGCGCAGTTTGAAAGCAAGGTGTTCTACCTGAAGATGAAAGGCGACTACTACCGGTATCTGGCCGAGGTAGCCACGGGTGAGAAGCGGGCCGCGGTGGTGGAGTCCTCTGAGGCGGCCTACAAGGAGGCCTTTGACATCAGTAGGGAGCACATGCAGCCCACCCACCCCATCCGCCTTGGCCTGGCGCTTAACTTCTCCGTCTTCTACTACGAGATCCAGAATGCACCGGAGCAGGCCTGCCACCTGGCCAAGCAGGCCTTCGACGATGCCATCGCGGAGCTGGACACGCTCAATGAGGATTCCTACAAGGACTCCACTCTCATCATGCAGCTGCTACGAGACAACCTCACCCTGTGGACCAGTGACCAGCAGGATGAAGAAGCAGGGGAGGTTAACAATTAGGGCCACCCTACACCGTGTTTGCATCACAGCCAACAGATCTCCCCCCCCCCCCAGCTCCTTACTCACTGAACCCCCAGCCCACCCTCACCACCAACCTTCGCTGTGTGCTCTGAACGCTCCTTCCTGTCATATCTCTCTTTCCATTTCTGATCTCCCTTCGGAAATCCCGCATTTTCACGCTTGCTTCCTTGTTCACTAATCCCTTCTCCTCACCTCTCCAACCCTGCCATATCACAGCTCTCTCCCATGCTCTCCCCCTCCCCAGATGTGTTCTGAACAGTACCAGATGTTTCCATCTCTACCACTGCCTCATTCATCCCTCCTCCTTCATGCATCGCTGTGTGGTCTATAATTACGATACTCGAAGCAGGATGATGGCTCCGGATCAGTTGTCAGGAGGTCGCCACCTTTCTGCCTGCACAGAAACTTTATTTTCAGCTTCCCTGCATTTGAAAACCATACTATAGGGGCTCTTTGTTTTTGGGTCTTTCTCTCAGTGCTCAGTAGAAACCTTAACCGTATACGATACAATGAAGCTGTTAGTCTCTCACGTGTCGTACGATTGGTGCCATTCGTGTTTCTAGAAGGCAGGTGCTGTGTCCTTTGTGTGCGTAACCGTGTTGTCGCCCAAGCATATGTGTGTTTGCGGAGGTTTTATTTTTTCCTCCAGGCCAGCTGGCTTAGTTGGACAGAGGGTCCATTTGGTGGCGACGTCTTCGCTTCGTCTCATTTGACATGCCGATGACTTCTCACCCAAGCGAGTCTGTGCTTGTGATGGGAAGGTTGATGGTGTTTGCAGTGACTGAACGCCAGGTGTCCCAGGTGTCGTCATTTGCTTGTGGCTAGTGCACGGATGGGGGAACTAATTGTACCCGTCTTTGCAGGTCAGAGATCAAGTTGTGCAAAACGAGTGATGATATTGGTTTGGATTTAAAGCCAGTTTTGGGGGGGCTAAAGGTTCTAGTTGGTCATTCGTCCATAAAGTGACCTTGCCTGCCCCCTAGTGCCTCAGTACCATGGTTCCATTCTGACTGCATGTATCTAACACAAAGGAGTAGGTGAAGAAACAGATTTGTATGCTCCATACTGCCACCTTCTGTCCTGGAGGTGGTATAGCAATGCTCCCCTTGAGATGCTGGCTCCTTTGGTCCTCATACTAGTCTAAGAACAGCATAAGATGAAATCTGTACTGGTTAAATTAAATCACACTACAAAACAGATCAAAGCAAGATTTGGGCGAGAATACACTTTGTTTCCGCTCAGCTCATATTGAGGTTGCTTGGTTTGGATCAACAAAACCCCCATTTTTCCTCATTTTCATAGAACAGACTTAAGTTCAACAGCAAGATGTCCTTTAACATGTGACTTGGTTTACCATGCTGCACAGACACTATTTATTAGAACAAGTATTATTTAACTAATGTATCTGTTTTTTCTTTAATATTTCATGTTTAAAAGCCAAATCTCCAAAGTTCGATCGATTTGAAATGGCCACGTGTGCTTCAGAATGATACATAAATGGTCATTTTATTTGGCAGGTGTTGGTGGGGATGATTATGATGTTCAGGAACATGCTCACATAGATGCATTTTATCATTTAATGCGAGTTTTGAGTTTTTAAATTATTTTATTGTTCATTTTAAGAAGTCAAACTTTGGCTGAGCAAAATAGCTGCTTTCAGTGTTCTCTCTGGCCTGTATTTGTCAAACTGTTGGTTGATATGGAAAGCCAGACTGAGTGGAGGTCTCCTGGAGGGACAGGGCCGAAATAAAGGTTGCTCCTGGATACTGATTTTGGGTGGCTGGCTCCTTATTTGTGGGTGTGGCTTTGTGTGTTTGTGGGTGTGGCTTTGTGTTTGTGGGCGTGGCTGTTTGGGGCGGATCATCAGAGGAACCATTCTGCTGCAATCCATGCTTTTCGAAAGGGGGCTGTCTAGTGTTTATACGATCTGTCTTTCACAAGTCATGTTTGCATGTGGCCTTTGGGTAATTTTTTGGCCATACCAGATTGCTGCATACAGAATGTGGAGAAAAATCCTAATTCAATCAGACTGATTAACCTACTACTATAAGTTCACGCAACAGTTGCAAGATTGCATACTATTCCAACCTAATACCAGGTAACTGAAATTTCCTTAATTAGCATGTGCTGATACTGTGAGGTGAGGGGGCTACGTTGAAGAGAATGCGCTAAAACTCGGCCTAATGAAGTCCATTAAAATCATGTCACGATACCCACATTACCGATCATTCAGCCCTGCCGAGTTGCCAAAGATGGCACTAGAGCCTGTGTAGGCACATCCTGAGCCAAAGGAACCGCCGCTCCCTTTGCTCGCAAGCGAGTACCATCCATACTCTGAAAACGATGTTCCTCTAACCATTCTGGCCTTGGAGGAAATCAGATGGCAGAAAACAACAGCTGTAATGTCACTATGGGCAAGATGGCCCTATTTAAGCGCTTCCTGTCAGAGGATCATAGCCGTATTTTCCTTTATCTTGCAACAGAAAATAAAGATCTTTTTGGAAGCAAGAGTAAGGATTGGGGTAGGTTGGGGAATACAAGGCCTGAAATAGGTGCAGGCTGTGGCTCAGCAATGGGGCTCTTGTGTACTCGATGTCCTCCTGGAACAGGTGACCTCAGGAGCTCCCGGCGTAAATGTGCAATGAAGAAGGAGCCAAGAAGCACCAGGGGTTTGCGGATTGCAGCACCAGGGGGCTCAACATGGGCAGTGCTAATCTGTGCAGTGGCATCTGACATAGCCAGCCAGGATAAAGTGAAAAACCACGGAAGCAGGAAATCCACGAAGCAGGGGAATGGTTTGTGTTCATATGTTTGACAAAACGTATGTCGGTAACATAGCTCAGCTCTTTGGCCACTGCTAACAGCCAAGGTTTATAAAACGTGTATGTGAATATCAATACTCAAGGATTTGCTGCATGATTCAAAGATAAATATGAACCTTAAGACAAGCAATGATTTATCCATCTTCTATTCAGGATCACAGGGGGTCCAGAGCCTATCCTGGAGGCTACAGGTGCAAGGCAGGGAACAACCCTGTTTGGGGCGCCATCCGATTACAGGGCACACACACACACCATACACACCTATGGGCATGACAGAGACTCAAACGCTGATTCCGGAGGTGTGAGGCAACAATGCTAACCACTGCACCACCATGCCACCCACTATGAGTTATAAAGATTGATAATCTGGTAAATTTAATAACTTACATGTAGGAATAGGTTATACCAAGGACACACACTGTCAATAATATGAATCATGTAGTAAAAGGAGATAATATTAATACAGGACAGCATTGTTTTGAGTGTGTCTGGGTTGAGTGGGAATCAGACACCATCTTAGAAAAGGAGGAAAACAGGATACTTCTTCTGTGATAGCTCTACTATCATTGGTTAAGCAAATGTTGTCCCACCCAGGTCCTTCATGACGTTTCTCTCCAGGAGAATTGTTACCACGACAACTGCCTTATGTCACTCTGTGCTGTTGCTCAGCAACGAGCTGATGTCAAAGGAGCCAGTTGCTATAGCTACAAGAAAAAAAAAAGGAGAGAGAGAGAGAGAGAGCAGAACGCTAGTGCCATTAAACAGAGGAAGAGAGAAAAAAGGGGAAAGGTCAGATATTTAAAAATCTGATGATTACAGATAAGGGATTGTTCAAGACTAGAAATGAACAGACTGAAGAAGGCAGGAGATTAATCAAAAAGGGAGAATTGAATTAGAGGGGAAATATTGGTGCACAGTACACTGAGAAACCCTTAACCTCTGTAAAGAGAAGGCACCACCATTTTTAAATAAAACGGAGTTAAATACCCACAAGGCACAGATATAAGCAGCACTACTCACGCCTTCGAGCCTTGGGCCTTCCAGGGAAGCAGGTGCTAGCAAGTGGTGACATCAGCTATGCTCAGTGATCCAAGATGGCCTCCTTCTCTCACATAGCGGGGCTCGAACGCCTCCGCTGTTTCCAGCGTGGAACGCAGGCTCTGTGCTGGGCTGAAAAGCCTGGGTCCATCTGTCCCCCCCCGCAGGCCATGCCACACCAGTTTCTCTGTCCATATGGGCCACACTCAGCGGGGCGGGCCTCCGCCAGAGAGGCGGCAGGGTTGGGCCTATTTTTATCGGTGCGCGGACCTGTGTGGGTACACGCCTGTGCGGGTGTGAGTCACTGCTGAAAGAGTAGAGTTCACCAGCTGCTGTAATCCCTGGACTCCGCTCCACCACCCCCCACCCTCAGCAGCAGTGCCGGCTGCTACAGACTCAGAAATGAATCCATTACAGTGCAATGACTAAGCACTCACTCAGTGGGGGCGGCAGCTCTGCACGCTGACAAGAGCGGTGGCAGGGTGGCTCACCACTCACAGCGCTCAGCGAATCACAGGTAGAGTTGGTGCCCCTTTCACCAATCACGTTACAGCTTGTGTTCTTCCACTAAATTGTATGAGAGAAATGTGCTGTCTCATCCAAATATATTAATAAAGGCTAGTCCTTGGGCCGTATCTTGGATATACATTTTTGTCCTTCCCAGTACTCAGCTAAAATCAACCAAGCAAGCGAGCACACTCGTACATTTAAGCTAGTGACACATCTATTGCCTTTTTACAGATTGTTAACTGCCTTCGTTCACCCCCCAGAACTAAATTACATTTATTGTGCATATTCTCAGCGGCAGTGCTAATCATTCACGCTGTAATCAGCCCCCTCTACAGCTGAATCATTACCTCCCCTTTCTCTCCAGACAAGGCTATTCAGTCCCAGGTGACACATGAAAATTGCACTTGACAGAACTGCCCACTTTCAAGTCAGCCCCTCCCCCTTCTTAGTATGACTCAGCACAAATCTGTGTCCTCTAGTATGTGTCCTTATCCCTTGCCTGAAGAATATTTCCCAGACACCCATACCACTGGCGCCATCTGCTGGCTGCTGGTGACAATGCACCTTTAATCATGACCTCATTGAATAGAATATTGTTGCTCGGCAACAGGAAGTGTCCTTAGAGAGCATGGTGAAAAGATAAGGACTCTGTTATTAAAGTATGTTTATGGGCTAAATAGGGACCCAAGGCGAGGACTGGCAGCCCATAAGGGGTTAGAAGCTGAACTTGCTTTACAGCAGGTCAATAAAAACTCCAAGCAGCTCCACTATCAGTGGTGACCAGGAGAGAAGTCCTCTTTGATAGCAAAGACTGCAGTGATTCGCTTGTCGTGTCTGTTCATATACCACAGTAGTACTTCTTCAGTAGGTGAAGCCAGAGGATCAGAAAAGTAAGACTGAATACGATGGTAAACTTGAGACCCACCCTGGGAAATGTCTGAGCAAGCTGAAATTAATCTTCCTCAATTAGCAATGACATGTTAGCCATAGCAATTATATAAGGGTGATGATATACGGGGCAACTGTTGCTCAGGCACTCTCCCATTGATATTGGGCAACAAATTTTTATTTGAAAAACTTGGATCTCAGTGGGCAACTTGTAAGTTTGTGGTCATTCAGAGCCAGATGAGTCTCTCATTTGTCTCCCCTGCAACTGCAAGGCAGCGGACAACTCTGCTTGGGGCACCAGCGGATTACAGGGCACACTCACACATCATACACTCCTACGGGCAATTTGGTAACTCTAATTAACCTCAGCATGTTTTTGGACTGTGGATGCTGCCCTGAGCATCATCATCTTCAGAATACAGGTTTGCTGTTCGGTACATACATACGCTGTCTGTTCTGGTACTGAACTGTTTGAAAAAAACTTCACAGTGAATGAATGAAGTATTTAAAATGTCCCAGATCATTCTAGTTCTAATTTCTGTACTCTCATTGACTTGTGTTATATACTGAAAGCTTGTAATCAGAAATTCAGTTTTTATGAATTAATTCACAAGCATGTAATGGTGCATGTTTGAGGCTTCATAGACAATTTGAGTCGGTACACTAAACAGCAGATGCGCATATGATGAAATAAGCCCAAAAGAGATGTACTTGATCCACATATGGCAGAAGCATCAGTGAAGTTTCTCAGCTTTTCTCACCTATCCTTAGACTCCTTGCACAAGTCATGAGAACAAAATATGTGCATACCTGCCATTTAACAATACTATGAAATTCATGAGTAAAGCATCGCTATAATCCAGCAGTGCGTCTCAGATACTTTGCATAAGGCAGATTTAATCTCCTGTGAATTCCCATATTTCTTCTTCACACAAGATGTTCATTTGCTAGCTATCTTTCATCAGGTCTGTCTAAATGGGTGGTCTTCTATTAAAAATCACTTCCTACTAAAAAACATCGCTGGCCTGCAATTCAGTCTCTTGAACAGCAGGGGGCGCAGCTTTGAGTTGAGACGGCGTTTTGCTGGATTCAGCATCTCTGCCGTGAAATGCATCACCTGTCGGGAGCGCGCACAGCTCTTTTCTTCGATTTGAATGGGGCGTCGGTGTGGTTCCGTCCATCTTAGTGTACTACAGAAATAGGAAATGTGTTTGCACATTTAGAAGACGTATATCATTGTTTCATATCGCGAAATGTTCATTTATCCATATGGTAATAATAAACTATGCGATTACGCCGCGAACGAGAACATAGTTTATTTATTTACTAGTCACGTCACTAGTTTAATACTCAATGAACAAGGAAGTCCTTGACTTTATTGACCAACATTACACAATATGATTTCTCAGGCACAAGTAATTTATTTTTCTCCATAATGAATATCATTTTTTGGTAAATAGCTAAAAAAAAAAAAGGTGTTCATCTTTATGACGGCTTACCTGCCAGGAAATGCATTTTCCTTCCCTCATTTGATTCTATCATGAAATGCTGTTAGCAACCAACACATTGAACGACATAATTACTGAATTTCATAAATGTGATATAAATGTTGAAAAACAGCACTTGTCTCTATCTGGAAAGGGAAGGGTGATCGCCTGGATTGCAACAACTACAGTGGGATAACATCCTTGTTAGGGCAAGGGCATAACTTTGGGTTGAGCATTGGGGAGGGGGGGGGGGTTGAAGAAGTCTTCACTCATTCAAAGGGGTCCAGGGAGTTGTATTGCTGGTTTTGATTATTAGAGGGGTCAGCCCACCCCCCATAATTTATGCCCATGTGCTAGGGTCATCCTCAATAGGATCTGTGATCACTTGCTTGCCTGTCAGAACCGGAGCAGTTTGGTATTGGGCCTAAGACGTCTACCATAGACCACATCCTGGCACTGAGGGTCCTTATCCAGCACAAACATAAATATCAGGGTTGGTTTGCAGCCTTTCAGCATTTCCATAAAGTGTTCGACTCAGTTGATCGAGCCCCAAAGTTGCTGGACATCATGACTGGTTTGTACACTGGTACTGTGAGTGCTGTGCAGAGTGGAGGCAGAACCTCTGCATTCTTACCAGTTCTGGGGTTCACCAGGGGTATGTTCTTGCTCCTACTACCAAAAATCTGGCAGAGGAGGCAGAGAAGAGTAGCTTCTGGCTGTAGCTGAAGAGGAGGGATACACACTGGGGCACCACCTAGCTGAAGGGCAGGCTGCAGGGGGCGATTGGGAGATGTCCCTGTCCTACCACCAGGAGATGTTCCGGGTTCAAAGGGGCGAAACATCAAGGAATGGTGGTACCCGGCTGATGACCCTGCAGCGAGCCAACCTGTAGGCACCGGAGGAGGTGTGTTAGGCAGCAATACCTTAGCAGGGGAAGATCAACCTGTGTTTGTATAATGCTTGTATGGACTGGGTGTTGGGCAGGGCCATGGGGCCATGGGGTCCAGTGGCTGTGGGGGAATAATAATAATCACTTTATTAATCCATCCATCCATCCATCTTCTTCCGCTTATCCAAGGTTGGGTCGCGGAGGCAGCAGTCTCAGCTGGGAATCCTGGACTTCCCTCTCCCCGGCCACTTCTTCCAGCTCCCCTGGGGGAATCCCGAGGCGTTCCCAGGCCAGCCGAGAGACATAGTCCCTCCAGCATGTCCTGGGTCTTCCCCGGGGTCTCCTCCCAGTGGGACATGCCCGGAACACCTCACCAGGGAGGCGTCCAGGAGGCATCCTCAGCAGATGCCTGAGCCACCTCATCTGGCTCTTCTCGATGCGGAGGAGCAGCGGCTCTACTCTGAGTCCCTCCCAAATGACCGAGCTCCTCACCCTATCTCCAAGGGAGAGCCCAGCCACCCTGCAGAGAAAACTCATTTCGGCCGCTTATACTCGTGATCTAGTTCTTTCGGTCACTACCCATGGCTCATGACCATAGGTGAGGGTAGGAATGTAGATCGACTGGTAAGTCGAGAGCTTTGCCTTTTGGCTCAGCTCCTTCTTCACCACGACAGACTGATGCAGTGCCCGCATCACTGCTGACGCCACATCGATCCGCCTGTCGATCTCCTTTTCTATCCTTCCCACACTCGTGAACAAGACCCCAAGATACTTAAACTCCTTCACTTGGGGAAGGACCCCCTCCCCAACCCGGAGAGAGCATTCCACCCTTTTCCGGCTGAGGACCATGGTCTCGGGTTTGGAGATGCTGATTCTCATCCCAGCCGCTTCACACTCAGCTGCAAACTGTCCCAGTAAGAGCTGAAGGTCACAGTCCGATGAAGCCAACAGAACTACATGATCTGCAAAAAGCAGAGACCTAATCCTGAGGTCACCAAACCGGACACCCTCAACGCCCTGGCTGCGCCTAGAAATTGTGTCCGTAAAAGCTATGAACAGAATCCAACCCTCACCAGAAACGAGTCCGACTTATTGCCGACCATGCGGACCAAGCTCTGGCACCGGTCATACAGGGACCAAACAGCCCTTATAAGGAAGCCCAGCACCCCATACTCCCGGAGCACTCCCCACAGGACTCCCCGAGGGACACGGTTGAATGCCTTCTCCAAGTCCACAAAAAGACTGGTTGGGCAAACTCCCATGAACCCTCTAAGACCCTGCTGAGAGTATAGAGCTGGTCCACTGTTCCACAGCCAGGGCGAAAACCACACTGCTCCTCCTGAATCCGAGGTTCGACAATGGACATGGGAGAAGCTCTGCCAGAGGTAGGAGTTGAAGCTCTTCCTGACAGGGGATTCCACCAGATGTTCCCAGCAGACCCGCACTATACGCTTGGGCCTGCTAAGCCTGGCCGGCTTCCTCCCCCACCAGCAGAGCCAACCCACCACCAGGTAGTGATCAGTTGACAGCTCTGCCCCTCTCTTCACCCGAGTGTCCAAGACATGCAGCTGCAAGCCTGAAGACACGGCTACAAAGTCGATCATTGAACTGCGGCCTAGGATGTCCAAGTG